AGAATCTGTTAAGACCTGGCTAGTGAGGCTGTGGGGCACTTGGGTAGACAGGATCAGTCTGGTTACTGTGGAAACAGACAACCAGAGCAATACAACTACTCATCTTTCCTTAGGCAAAGGCTTCATAAGCTCATACAATAGAGGGAAATCATCCCTCATGGACTGGCTTAGTAGAGCCATTAGAATCACCTGCTTCCTTCATCTGAGGCGCTCATAAACACCAGGGCTCGAGGACAGTCGAGACTGACAGGCACTACCGAGGAGTCCAGAAACAACAAAAGCTGTGTCTGAACCCTAATTTATTTGGAACATAAATAGAACTATGTTCACAGAGGACTTAAAGAAACAGGTTGATTCTTCACGGACCTGGAGACTCTATGCAGCTTTAATGGTTTTGCTGAGTCCTTTGTTTGGGCAAAATCATTATAAGGTAGAAAGGCTTTGACACAGTTAATTGACTTAGGCCGACATGTAAATAATGTTCATAAAGTGAGACAGCCACCGAGACTAAGTGTGTCTAGCTATTCAAACACAGATGTAGCATGCTTTGTTTTGAGACAGACTTCTGGATCTTCACATCCATGTTGTGTAAGAAACTCCAAAGATAAATGCCCAAAATGTCAGCTGGTCTTAAAAAAGAAAAGAAATAATCCTTCATACATTGTACTAAGAGTAAAATAGAAAGATTAGCCTCAGAAAGTGGACAACTAATTGGTGACTAAATATATATTTTTCCGTAAATAGTGATCAGTAAATAAATCCCAGAGGAAGGCAGTCCTCAGAAGAAAGGTTACACAAAGATTAATTGAATGTGAGAGAGGTCTCAAATTAATAACTTAATGATGCACCTCAAAGCTGGAGAAAAAAGCCAAACTAACACACAGATGTTAACATGAAGTATAAACCATATATACTACAAATAATAAAAATGAAGCCTAAAATTCATGAACTGGAGATGTGAAGAACAGTATACTAAATAAATAGCAGAAAACATCTCATAAGATAGACAAGATTTTCCAATTCCTAGTAAAGCAACCAGAGAAAGACAGGGGATGATAGTGGAGGAGGGGGAAGAATGGAGGGAAAAAGAAAGGAAAAAAAGATGGAAGGAAGAAGGAAAACCGAGACCTAAATTAATGGAAGAAAAAAGGGAGTTGTTACGACAGATTTCAATGGAATACAGAAAATCATCATAAAAGCCTTTGTAAACTTATTTTCCAAAAACTTTAGAAGTGTTAGAAGAAATAAATATACTTCTAAATATATACAACTGAGTGAACATAAAGCCAGAAGATATAAACATCCCAACTAGTCCCATAACAATAAGGATACTGAAGCAGAAACTAAAGGTCTGACCACAAAGTAAAATCCAGGGTCAGATAGATGTACTGCAAAATTCTACCAAGCTTTAAAAATCAAATGACACTATTTAATTCTTTCATAAAATAGAACAGAAAAAACTAACAAGAAGAATAGAAAGGAAATTACCAAGAAACAGAAGGAACTACCAAGCTAATTCTAAGGAACTGGTATAACCCACAATAACAAACTCAGAAACACACACACACACACACAATGTAGGTAAAGTTTTCCCTGTCTGGACCTCCTGATCCCAAATAACTGACACAGAGGCTTAATATTACTTCTCCCTTGACTTTGCCTTTAATCTCCTCGTCGTTCTCAGTTTGGCTTTCCCATCTAACTTTATCCTGTTTGGCTATTGGTCAGTCAGCTTGTTTACTAAACCAAACACAGCAACATATATTCATACAGTATAAAGGAATATTCCACAGCGCATGTACACACACACTCCAATACCATAGCACACTACTATCCATAATGAATATTTGAGACTCCTCCACAAAAAAAAAAAAGATCAAACAAAACAAAACACAAAACCCTAAAAACTTCTCAAAGAATTTCACACTTAGATTAGAAATTACAACTAATAGGGTTTTATCTCCTAAGGTGCGTTTGTCATATGGAAATCACTATATAAAAGACATAAAGACAGAAATCACATGAGCATTTCAAAAGATGCAGAAAACGTACCTGATGAACTGCAAAGCACATAGAGGAAGAAACAAGGAAAAGATGGAACATCTTTCAACAAGATAAAGGCAATGGATGATATCTGGATGGCCAACCTTTAGTAAGTAGAGGAAAACTAATGAAAACAGTGCCTGGAAAATGTGATATGAGACAAGGGTTACCTGTCTGGATTCTTGTTGAATACTGGGCTCTAACTGTTACCTAGAGAATTAAAACAATATAGAGAGAACAAAAGGACAAAAATTTGATCTGAAGTTAAACTATCCCTATATTTAGATGACATTATTCTTTATTTAAAAATCCGCATAAACACCACCAAAAACATGAATCTGATACTTTCAGTAAAAACAGGAGCTTACAAAGTCAACATACAAAAATAATTAGCCTTTATATACACCAATAGCAGAATTTCTGAGAAAGAAACCAGGGGAAAAATGCCTATCATAATGGGAGATGAAGAAAGAAGGAAAAAGAGTAAGAGGAGAAAAAGGAGACTGGGGAAATGAGGAGGAAGCAGAAAGTTCTTATAGGAGTAACATTAACCAGGGTGATGCAAGATTTCTTTGTTTTGTTTTTGAGTTATGCTCTCACTATGTAGCCCTGGCAGGCCTGGAACTACTATTAGCAAAGAATTAAAATACTGATACCAGTTACTAGAGGAAGACATTAGATGATAGAAAGATACCACATGTTTATGGACTGGCAGAGCTCACACTCTAAGACGGGCAATACTGACAAAAGCTATCTACATACTCAGTGAAATGCAGGTAAAATTCCGATGACATTCATCATAGAACTAGAGATAAAAATAACTAATTTGGAAACACAAAAGACCACAGACAACACAATTTATACATAAAGAATAATCAGAGGTCATTACCTGACCTCAAACTATATAACAAAGACATAGTGAAAAATGTTGCTAGGTACTCACACAAAAAGAAAAAAACAAAACAATAACAACAAAATAAAACAAAACCCCACCTATATAAACAAATGTAATGTACAGTGAGATACAGACTTGAACCAATATGGCAACAAACTCTTAATTTTTTTTTTACATAAATGTCAAAACCATATTGTGTAAGAGATAACCTTTTCAAAAATTAGAGGTGGCAAAACTAGATATGCAGTGGTAAAAAGATAAAATTAGATCTGTGTATTTCATTCTATAAAAATCAATCGGGCGGTGGTGGCACATGCCTGTAATCCCAGAACTTGGGAAGCAGAGGAAGGTGGATCTCAGTGAGTTCGAGGCCACCCTGGTCCACATAGAAAGTTCTAGGACAACAACAGCAAAAAGAAAGAAAGAAAGAAAGAAAGAAAGAAAGAAAGAAAGAAAGAAAGAAAGAAA